TTTGCACCCTTGCTGTTCATTTGTCACTAGAGATGTGTTTGGTGTGTGTGTGTGGGGGGGAGGTGGGGGTGGGGTGCGCCAAGATGGTTGTAACCCTCTCAAGCATTCAGCATCCTTAGGCATCTTGTTCAATCACAGATTGTTGAATCTAGCCTGAGACTTTCTGGCTCGGTTGGTCCTAGTAAGATCTGAGAAGGAGTAGTTCCGCCAAGCGCACAGGTGGTGCTGCTGCTGGTGGTGGTAGTGGCACTGAGAGATGGGGGAAGAGTGTGGGTATTTGAGAGTCATTCATAGTGTTTGTGCAATACCGACTTCAACACTTGTCCTACAACACTGAGATCTCTCTTCTCCCCACCCGTCAAAGGGCCTGATGTCACTTCTAGTTTGTGAGAACACTTCCATTTATGCTACTGGTATTCCCAGTAGTTGATGTACCAGTTTCTTTGAAAAGTTCTGGCTCTTTGAAATAGGAACCAGTCAAGTCCCAAATCTTCAGCTTGTTCTCAAATTATAGACATAGCTCCAGTACCCTGCCACCTTCAATCCCCATTTCACCCTAATAGAGAATATTCGGCAACATCAAATTATTTTTAGCATCTTCTAATACAGGGTATAGGTATTCAGGAACTGCCTCTTATAACCAAAAACAAAAAGTAAAGTTACCTAAAGGCATATCATAAGGGCTTTTGGTTTTCCATATAATCTTTATTTGTAGCAAAGAACTTTCTAGCCTAAAGATTTTAACAATTTGCTTGTGTTGCACAAAATCTTCCCTGCTGATTTCGGATTTGTGTTTCTCCCAAGTCATATTGCCAAATTGAAATTCCTCCTTTTAAATCAACTATCTTGTAAGCCATCTCTCTGATGCGGAGTCTATATTTTGTGTAGCATGCTCACTTGCTGCAACAGTCTGTTGGCATGACTCTGATTTGGGCTAAGCTTCAGAATTCTCATTAGCCTTGAGCTATTTTCTGTCGTGAGTATATCCCTCTTTACTTTATTATCATAATGGCACCTTCTCTCATTTGTTTGTACCATAGGAAACACAGTAGAGAGAAATGATTTCTTCAGGGGTCATGGAGGGACACAGGACAAGTTCAGGCAAAGATACACACACACACACACACACACACACACACACACACACACACACACTTCTAGTTGGAGTAGAAAACTTTGACATCTAAAATGTGCTGCTTTGAAAATGTGAAGAAATACAAGCTTTCCCAGGCCAGAGTGCAGCAGGATAAAGAGACTGATATTTTTTCCTACATGAAAATGAGAAAGCATTTGAATGGCAAGAAGAGGCCTAGTGATAACTGCAAACACACCCAAACTGTGTGTTTATGGCCTACGAACATAACACCAAAACTCATTTATGATAACCAAGCTACCGGCAAGGCCCACCAGAAAATATTTACTAGCAGCCATTAAAACTTCCTTGGGCACTGGAAGGCCGGCCTGCTGCTTCCTCACCACTGGCTTCCCAGGAATGAAGAGTAGATTCCTTAACCCCTGAGATCCTGGCTGAAAATCGGGCGGGAGATTAAAGCACTCCGGCTTTTGTCAGGCACTGAGACACAAGCCATCAAAACCCAAAGCGCAGGAGAAGCTGAGATTCCCTAAGGGAGTGTGAGCCTGGGCATCCTTGGCTTCCAACTTCAAGTGGTTACTTGGTGGTCAACATCTCATGCAATTTCCTGTTTTGGGCAGTGCTTGATACTGTGTAGGACTGACTCCTGCTTTGATCAAGTAGTCCTAGTTAACCCCTTTGTGGTTTTGAAGACGAATGTTACATTCTGAAAATCCCTTAAATCCTTCACCCAACTTGCTCTATAGCAAAGCTCAGTGGGAAAGTTCAGGTGGGGTCGCCTTTGTCTATTCTACCGTAAATATATACAATGACAACCTTTCAGATTATGCGTTTACTCAACAAATCTCACATATATGTCACATACAGTAATATCTTTTGGGGACAGAGATGAATTATGTAAGTTTGAATATCAGATAGGATCATATTTCCTTTATTCCTTTATTTTGGGGCCAGGGATTGAGCCTGGGCTTGGTGCAGGCTACACTCAGGCTTACCTACCATGAGCTATACCACCAACTCTCAGGATGGTATCTTTTTAAATGGATGCATTTACATTTCACAATAAGTCTTACAGAACTTCGGGATACTGTCTATTTGGGCCGATTTGAGAGCAGCTACTCACATCTTGTTTTATTTTTTTCTTTTCTTATCCTCAACTGCACCCTTTGGCATGTTTATCTCCAACATGAGAGATTGGCACTATGTAGTAACAATCCCAAATAACATTCTAGGTTCAGAATCTGTAGAGTGGGGAGACATACTCAGTGCAAACTTTAAAAATAAAGATTAAGAGTATACTTTAAAGTTCCCCAGTGTCTTTTTCTCAGGCTCATCAAATATTTCAGATCTTGGATGCTATTAAATGTGCATGAGCCTATGGAATTCTGTGGGAGATAAAATATTTGCATAGTATTTAGGGATCTGTGTGCAATTAAACTAACCAAACACAGGTGACTTCTATTTAATTCCTTCAACTTTTTAAGTTCTTGCTTTCAACTTTTACTGTAGCACTGTAAAACACGGAAACAAGCAGATGCATAGTGGTCATGGCAGGCAGCTGTTAGACACTGATTTCATATGACATTCTTCGTGGTGACCCCATTTCCTCATACTTGACACTTCACATGCCCTTCATTGTATAAGGAAGATTCTGTTGTATAGTTGGAGTAGGTTAATTTACAATAAAAGGTTGTATCTTTCTATATTTTAGAAAAATGTTCAATGTTTAGAGCCTGTGAAGACAGCTCTGCCAGTCATAGGCTTGTGTTGAAAACAAGAAAACTTACTGAGTTCCATCTCCAGCTGAGAATAGTGGCATGTGCATATAATTCTGTTTCTGGGGAGGCAGAGACAGGAGGATGACTGTGGCTTACTGGCCAGTCTGTCTAGGCTGACTAGGGAGCCCCGGGCCAATTATAGACCTGCCTCAAAGGAAGTGAAGGATGTTTCTAAAGATGGTACCTAAGGCTGGTTTGTAACACGTGCTAGAGATGGAACACACACACACACACACACACACACACACACATATACAATCATGAGCATACATACATGTCCATAAACATGCTCAGTAATATTTTTAGACCAGTTGTATAGATAACGAACTTCAGGGCATACCTTTTCTTGCTTACTCTTCCTAGGAAGTAGAACTATTACAATTTCAATGCTTTCATTCAGGTGATGTTAAAAGTTTAAATGAAGATATTAGCTGAGGGAAGATTTTAAAATAACTTTTCTTAAGTTTTAAAATCCAAATTCCTTTATCATCTGGATTTTAAAAAATGACAGATGTCATACTTGAGACTGCATGTCCTTTATTAGGTAAAAAAATAATATATATATATATATATATTTGGACTAGGCTAACTTATAAAAAGTGTTTTGTCTTCATATATTTTAAATGTTCATTTTTTAAAAGATTTATTTACTTATTTTATGTACATGAATGTTCTATCTGCATGGATACCTACATACCAGAAGAAGCCATCAGATCCCAGTATAGATGGTTGTGAGCCACCATGTGGTTGCTGGGAATTGAACTCAGGACCTCCGGAAGAGCAGACAGTGCTCTTAGCCACTGAGCCATCTCTCCAGCCAAATGTTCAATTTTTATTATAATTTAACATTAAAAACAATGTGGCTCATATCCTCTTAGAATAAGGAACAGTAGGAATAAAATTGGAGCATTATGACCATTCTTCCTCACTTGTCCCCAATTGTAAATTTTTCTCCCAAGAAAAGACATCTTAGTTGGGTGCGGTGGCAGATGTCTGTAATCCCAGCACTCAGGCTGGTAGAGACAGGTGGATCTCTGTGAGTTCGAGGCCAACCTGGTCTACAAAGCAAGTCCAGGACAGTGAAGACTACATAGAGAAACCCTGTCTCAAAAAACCAAAACAACAACAAAAGTCACACTTCTCCCTTTCTCACTCATGTGACCACTTTTCTCTCTCATCTCCTTACCCCACTTTCCTTCTTGGTGGCGCTGACCTTTGAAACAAAGTGCCCCACCACTGAGAAACAGCCTTAGCTCGTGGGACCACTTTCTGCCTGAGGTGCACTTAATTTTGTAGGTTAGAGATTCAAAACAAAAGGAGTGAAACCCAAGTTTTCGGAGGCTGATTTCTAAGAAAAGTCTAGGGTGTGTTGCAAGGAAACTTGCTACATTTTCTTTCATGGCCACCAGTCTCGTTACAGCTACTCTTCATGTCACAAGCTTATACCTTGGCAGCGCTTTGCCGGCTTTTTCAGTCCCTTCCAACAGTTTTAGACATAAAGGGAAAAGGGAGTACTTATTCCATGCTTGTATTGTCTGTTTGCAGTTGACTGCATTTCAGTCCCTTTGTCACAGGCTGAGGTGGGGTTGGCTATACCACACCTCATAGGACGGCCCAGCATGCTCTGAGGAGGAAGTGAGAGAAGAGTTTCTGGAGTTTGTGACCCTCCACTTTGGCTTTAATAGTTTTAATTAAAGCTTTCGTATGTAAATTATATGTATAATAAGTGCTAACTTTCAATAACAGGAGGTAGAAGTTACTGATGTTGGGTAGGGTGGGAGTAGTGATTTGGTACAGAATAGAAACAAACACACACCCCAAGCAACACACATAGTTTCAGCTAATTAGTCCAACCAATACAGATGGACTAATTTGGTTTCCTATTTCTGTCCTAAGAAGGAAAAGGGTTTATTTGGCTTCCATGTCCCAATCCAGTCCATCAGTGAGGAAAGCCAGGGCAGAAACCGAAGCACAGCCAGGGGAGGAACACTGCTTGCTGGCTTGCCTCTCATACCTCACCCAGCTTGCCATTTTCTATAACCCAGGACCATCTGCCCATCGGTAGCCCTGCCCATAGTGATCCAGGCACTCCCACATCAATCACTTCAGAAAATGCCCCACAGACTTGCCTGTAGGCCAACCTGAGGGGAACGCTTTCTCAGCTGAGCATCCATCTTACCAGATGACAACAGCTGTGTCAAGCTGACAAAAAAAAAAAAAAGCACAACAATGACATTACTTTTTCCATAAGTCTATATATGAATTCTAAGTGTTTATATCATGCAATATACTTTATAAACATTGTGTTTTAAAGTATGCCTGTAGCATTAATGTTCTTTAAGTACTAATGACTGTTACAAGCTGATTGTAAAACTGAGCATGAGACAGCAAATTTATTATAGAAGCCACAGGCTTATGTCACTGCGCATACAAACAGCATCAGGCATACACACCAATGTTGGAGGTAAGAGTTATTACAGATTTTTAGACTAGCCTAGCCTCACAATTGTGGCCATCCTTCTCTGATTCTGTCTCTTAAGAGTGGTATGAACTACCACGCCTGGCAAAAGCTTATTTGTCAAAGTAAGTGTGTGTGTCAACCTCGAAGCGGTCCAGAATTTTTGATTCTAAATTAGCTCAACAGGCACCTAATACGGGAAGACAGACAACTTGGTCCATTGTGTTGAGCGTGTGGGAAGGCTGTTACAGGGCCCGATCTAATAGAGCACTTTGGAATGGCTATTTAGTCATGGAGGAAAAAATACCTGTAGCAGACAGGGGCTTATTTACTTATTTATTTATTTATTAGCCAAGTGAGGGGGAGGGTAGCTAAAGAATGCTCAAGAACTGGCCACAGGTGTAGTTCTGCCCTCTAGTGGTTCTAGGTGAGAGACTGGTTTAACGGCTCCCTGTGCTCACCAAACTTAGCAACGATTCATCAAAACAACAACAATCCCCCCCCCCCCATTTACTAGGGGCTTGTGTGGGGTGCTAAGTGAAAGGAAAACGATAGCGGCCAAGGTAAACATCGGTTCTTCAGCTACGATGGCAGGGCGACTGACTTCAAGCTGCTATCCCAGCTATTTTGGTTGCATACTCTCAAGGAAAATAAATGGTCAGGGTCCTTCCTCGAGCTGTCTCCCCTGAACCTTACCCTATCATGACACAGGGGGCTTCGGAACACACTCCTGGCCAGGACAGAATTTTGGAAACTGGCTCCATGAGGACTGGTCCTAGAAAGACCCAGAGAAGCAGCCAGAGCAGGTGTTTGCAAGGGAGGGTCCCGACGCGTGGGAGGTCGCTGACAGGTACACCAGCTTCTCCCTGCGTCGTCCCAGGAGATTGTGACGGCCGCGGGACGGGAGAGACTTGCAGAGCTGTGTAGAGAATGCCCAGGCGACTCTGGGACGCGGCCATGACTGTGCCTGCCTCTACATCTCGACTCCCGGGCCGCCTGGTGGGAAAGTGCGCCCGGAGAGGGGAACCGGCGTGCTTCCACCCCTTGCGCCTGGTGGGTGTGTCGAGAGCGGGAAGAAGCCATTCCGAGAGCACGCGAGGAGCCCCGGGCCCGGCGCGCACTCCCACCGATCCCCGGCTGCCCGGGGCTACATCCATAGCGGCCCGCAGGCTCGGCCTCACTGCACTTCCGCTCACCCGCGCAGAGAGCCGAAGTGCGCCTGCGCGCGCGCCTCTCCGCGGCGGAAGTGGTAGCGACAAAGCTCGGTGGGCGGCGGGCCGGGTAGTGCAGGGCGCGCCGGGCGGCGGGCGGCGGGGAGGGGCGGAGCGCAGGAGGCGGAGGCGGGAGCAGAGCTGCTCGGCCGTGCGCGGAGCCGCGCGGAGCCGTCGGGCCGAGCTTGGCGGACCCCGTCGCCGCTCCTCCTATCCCCTCCCCGCCGCCGTCCTGCCGGTCCTCGGGACGCGGCTGGGCTCCGTGTGGCGCCACGCGCGCCCCCCGCAGCCCCGCTAGTGAGTCCTCGCAGCCTGGAGGGAGGGGGACGTCTGGGGTGTCGGAGAGGACTCCGGGTACCCACTCCTGGCCCCGTTTCCAGAAACTTCCAGGTCTGGAGGGATGGAGGCGTCCGGGGGGGGATGTCTGATGCCCGTGGAGCGCCTCTCGGGCGCCGCCCGGCTGGTGTGAGGCGCTGGCGCTGCGGGCGACGCTGGGGGTGGGCTAGGGAGGTGGCGGCTGGGCAGGGGTCGCCCTGCTCCTCTTCCCTCTGGTCAGCTCCGCTTCCTCTGGTTTCTCTTGCAGATGCTGCTGCTAGGGGTGGTGGGAGCAGCCGTGGGACGCGTGGCCGGGAGCGGGGGTGACAGCCTGGGATTCCGGGGTCTTCTCTTCCTTGCCCTCCTCTCCTCTCTATTCCCAGTGTGGCCGTGGCTGACACTAAAGACTTTGTAGCCATCAACCCGAGTGCAGTTTCGATGGAAAATGAAGGTAAAGGCCCCTGGTAGATGGGTTTGCAACACAGAGTTGAGGGTGTGGTGGTTTGCTTTTTAAGTTGTCTGTCTTTTCCCACCTTTTAATTTTTTAATTTAATTGATTTTTTTTTCTTTGCATGTGAAATGTCTGAGGATTTGCTTCCCTGAGGGCATCTAGTATTTATTTTGGTAACATGGGCATTGCGGGGATTAAGGTTCTGCGGGTGACAGCTGGAGTCTGCTTTCCTGGGAAATTGTTATTTTCTATAGCATAGGTAATGGGACGGAAGTTTTCATTTGAGATAGCATCTGTGCACGTCCTTATAGCTCTTTGAAAGGAGTCAGCGGATGGGAAATGGAAATGGGAGGAGATGACTATGGATCATATCTCTGTATATTTGCATATCGAGCTTTGTTAGTGTGTGTGACTGAATTATAAAGATTTTAAAATAAATTCTACCTTTGGGAAAAAAAAAAAAAGCTTTATTTCAACTCACAAATTAAAAAAGAACCCAACCCATGAATTCAATGAAATTTTCTGAGAATTTCCCCATTTTAAAGTTCCACCCTATTTCAAAACATCTTCTGGATGTTGACAGCGGAACCTGTTTGTCCCTATTACACATTGTGTTTGGACGCGTTCTGTTGTCACGTTACTCGACTTTGGCCTCATTAAAATAATGCTTTTTATTTATAGCACTTGGGTTTTAAAATTGTTGAATAACTGAATAAATGATTTTTCTTCCCTCTTTAACCAACCATGTTTATTGTTTGTACTGACTTCTGGCTTGTGTGTGATCATCTTTCTTTCTTTTTTTCCCCCTTCTTTTTTGACTGGGCTGCAAGATGCTAGAAAAGGTACTTAACAAATGATTCCTTGTTTTCCCCCTTCCCTTGAATCGTTTGGTTTAAAAATCTTTATTTGGTACACAGGAGCTGCAGTTAAGCTGAATGCTTTTTCCGTTGTTGAGAACTTAAGCTTGATTGGCTAAGTAGGACTTGAGATTTTAAAATAGGTGTTTCTCATGGATGCAGTAATCTGTTGTGCTGTTTGAGAACTGTGGCATATGTAGGATTATGATGAGAGGCATGGTTACCTCACCCAGTTTCATTCTCGGTGGTTAATTGGTGGAATGCGATTTCTGACACACCAAAGTGTGTAACTGCAGAGGAGTTACGCTGATTTGGTCTTGAGAGCAGTTGTGTTTTTTTTTTTTTTCTGGTGTTACGGAAATTGTTTTTCTAAGCCCCCTTTCTCTTGTCCTTTAGAGATTTAAGAAAGGCAAGTTTGTTTTTCATAAGACAGTGTTGAGTCCATTCATGCAGTGGTTTCTGTTTAGTAAAAATCTCTGTAAGTAAAATCTCGCAGTTATCGTACATCTGTGAGCTATTTTGAGAATATTACCAGATTTAGGAGAGTAGCCTGAAGTAGGTGGATACTTGGCTGTCGGTTTTCTTCCTTGGTGTCTTAGGAATCAGAGCATGAGTAATGAAGCCAGTACGTATCTGCTGAGGTAGAAGGGGGTGGCTGTTAGATAGGAGTGTGTCCTTATTTTATGGCCACACAAGAATGATGTAGCTTCATAGTAAAAGATTATAAATGTCTTAAAGACTTGAGGGCTTTTCTGCCCCATTATTTTTGACCATGAAGAGACGATTTTTCTTACTATCTTAACATTTTTTTTCCTGTCTAAATATTTTTAGAAGAACTTGTAGATAGCCTAAAAGAAATTGACTATCTTAAAATAGGTCTGTATTTCTTTTCATTTAGTTTGTACCCTCTTCCGAGTATTAACAACTTAGAAAGTATGGAGCCAAAATATTAAAATCTGGTCCTATTGCAAAGCTGTGTGGCTTCAGGCTAAAAATTTCACCTTTCCTGAGTTTCATCTATAAGATGGGATTGAAAATGGGCAGCTCACAAAGTTGAGGTGATGATTGAGAAACACTGCAGAGAGGGGAATGCTGGAGTCTAACCGCATGGAACAGGGCATTTCACTGTGAATACTGCATCTCCACAGTATTTGTCCTTGTGCAGATTATTAAAGCTTTTTGTGCTCTGGTTTCTTATGCATAAAAATAAGGGTAATGGTAGCTGTCTTGTGACATTGTTGTAAGCACTCAAAATAGCATCTGGCATACAATAAGTAGTCCGTAAACGTTAATTGTAAATAGCATAGTCCACTATTTGATGCCTACAGTTATGCCACCTGGCATTAATGTCATAACAAGGCATTGTTGGAATGGGGAGCAGCGGTGGCCAAATGCTCAGGATGACAGTGTTACTAGGTGGTGGTGGGGGGTGAGTTTAAGGACTTTTCTGTAGAGTTAGTGCTTTAAGTAGAGGTTAGGGTTCCACCAAGCCATTGCAAGAGGGCAGTAGTTTCCCCTGTCCCCCAAAATCTGACCTTGTGCTTCTGAGCTTTCTTGGCTTCTAAGTTTAATTGTCTGTGAATGGGATACTGCCATCTTGGGGGATTGGTATAGTAAGTGAAGCCAGAGGAGTGGTTGACAGAGCTTTTTTTTTTTTTTCCTCAAAAGAAACAAAGATAATTTTATTTTGAGTAGTGCAATTATACATGTTAAAGAGAAATACAGTGACAGGAGCTCTACAAGGAGACCAAGAGAACCAAAAATACCTGGGCCCAGGGGGAGACTGCAGAGACTTGATACTTCAACCAAGGACCATGTATAGAGAGGACCCAGACCCCCTGCTCAGATGTAGCCCATGGCAGCTCAGTCCCCAAGTGGGTACCCTAGTAAGGGGAACAGGGACTGTCTCTGACATGAACTCAGTGGCTGGCTCTTTGATCACCTCCCCTGAGGGGAGTGTGGCCTTGCCAGGCCTCAGAGGAAGATGATGCAGCCAGTCCTGATGAGACCTGATAGACTATGGTCGGATAGAAGGGGAGGAGAACTTTCTCTATCAGTGGACTAGGAAGGGGCATAGGGGGAGAAGAGGGAGAGAGGGAAGGATGGGGAGGAGATGAGGGAGGGGGCTCAGCCCCATGTGAATGAGAGTCAAGAGTCCGGAAACCTGGTGTCTCTCTATGGGATCTAAGGGAATAAGGAGTGTACAATGAGTGATTGAACCAGGCTGCTGTTGTCTGGAAACAGTCTTCCAGGAGGTGGACAGATAAGTTACACTGTTAGGTGTGAACTGTGAATGATTATCTGATAGTGGCTCACTAGAACATCCACATGGAAGGAGTTCTTAGCAGTTACGTTTACAGTGGCTACATCCTGGGAGGAAATGGCTTTATACATTTACTTCAGTCTTCAACAGTAGAGGTATTTGCTTTGGCACTAGATTTTGATTCTTCTAGACTCCCCTCCCAGGGCCCACCTAAACTTTTTCAGGAAAGCATGACCTATTTTTAGCTACTCTCCTGGATGCTTTATGTATACTTCCAGTCACTAGGAACATTTGAAGCCTTAATTATTTCCAGGATTTTCAAGGATTAAGTCCTAGACAACCAATTGTTCGGATTTTTGTCTAAATCCTTTAAAAGTCCTGTACAAGTGTAAATTAACAAGATAACCGTTACTTAGTAACCTGAGATAATACAGCATTTTCATCTTTTAAAAATTTGTTGCTAGTTTAAAGGATGGCTTATTAGAAAAGACATTTCTAGATGGTTTTTCAGATATATAAATCTATATATATAAACATATAGATTTATATAAATATATATAAATATATAAATTATATATAAATTTTATATATAAATATAATATTTTATATAAATATAATATATGAATATATAAATAAATATATAAATATATTTATACACTTATAAATATATATTTATATATATTTATTATATAAATACATATGAATATAATATTATATAAATATAATATTTATAATATATATAATATATATTTTTTTCCTTTCCTGTTAACTGGTTTAGTCTTTAACAAATCTGGCCTTTTCTAAGAGTTTAATGTGTTTTATACTTTTTGAATGTGTCTTTCACTCTTGAGTAGAAATGTAATAATCTTCAGGATTTCAGGAAATGCTACATTCAGCTAGAAGCACCTCCTATTTTTTTTTATGTCATTTATATTTATACTTTTAAAGTAGTTTGTCACTCAATTTCAAATGGTTATCTTGAAATGTCTCAAGAAACTACTTGCTGGGACTGTAGAGATGGAAAGAGAAGGAAAAGAAAATGCTTTAGTTTAATTCCAACTTATAAAAGTATCTTAAGTCGCTAGGTGTGGAAAACATAATTTACTGTATTTATAGTATTGTCTATAAGTTATTCTCCATAGGTTTGGAAAAGGCTTGAAACCAAAAGAGTGTCTAAGAACATTTTTTAAACAGCAGAGAAGAATGTAGAGTTTGTAGGCAATAGACTCAATAGCCTTTAGCACTTTTTTTTTTTTTTTGGTGTGTGTGTGTGTGTGAGCTATAGCATTTGTGTGCAGATTAGAGGACAACTTGGGAGTTGGTTATCTTCATCATGTGGGTTCTAAAGCTTGAATTTAGGTTGTCAGGCTTATCGGCAAGTGTCTGTACGTGCTGAGCTAGCTCACCAGGCTACGGTAACCTTTTCACAATTGGATTCTGAATACTTGATTTAACTTAGTACATGTGTGTATGTGTGTGTGTGTGTGTGTTTATGCATCTGTATGACGTGTGCATATGGGCGTGCATGAGTGTAATGGGCAGAGATCAGTTTCTGCTGTCAACCCAGCCTTAGTTTTTGAGACAGGGTCTCTTATTGAACCTGGAGACACTGCTTTAGCCAGGCTGGTTGGCTAGCTGCAGGGTCCCATTTGTCTCTTGGTTTTCTCTCCCCAGCTGGAGTTACAGAAGTGTCAGCCATTATACCAAGGTTTTCTGTGGTTGCTGGGATCTGAACTCAGGTGCCCATGCTTGGGAAGCAGGAACTTCATGAACTAAAACAGGAGCAGTACATTGTTTTAATATTCTTACCATTTAATGTCAACAGAATCAAGCTCTGTTAATTGAAACATTATGAAACAAAATAGTTGTCAGGGGAACAC